TGAAGAAAAAACACATGTGCACGTATTTCAGAAATCACATTAACGATACTTTGTACTCTTGATATTTGAGCAATTTTGTTTAGTGTTCAAAACTAGTATGCAAAGTGGCACTTTTATCCTAGTTTATTCCATATACCTATTAGTTGATAAGAAACTTTCGCACATTATTGCTAAGGAGTTGAATCTCTATGCTTGTGGAATTTTCCACTGTGTTCACACTCCATTGCTCTCTCTGTTCCATAAAATAGTCAATGATGTAGCTGAGTGATCATTTCTTATACCATGGTAATGTGAAATTCAACATAGGAATCTGAGAAGAAAGGGAACTCCTTGATCAATGAGCAGTCACTGTGTCTGCTGGAATTTAGGTGTGTGACAATAAAAGGAAGGAAAAGATCCTAAAAGAAATTTCTGGTGAAGTTTTAACACATCATCAGAACTTTGGAGTCATAAAGAGGGACATGGGAATGAGAATGAGGGAATAATATACAGGGAAATACAACCAAGACCGAATCTCTCCTTGTGCTCAGAGTTGAATAGCTACTCGTGTTATGTCCAATGCTGGGGGCAGAATGAAACATGGATGTTTCATAGTAAAATGTCACCTGAACATAGAGGGATAGAGTAGAACATTTGACAAAGGGTCAGGCTATAATGAAGAAGAGGGATGGAAAAGTAACAAAAGGAAAAGAAGGAGGAATTTTGAGATAAAGAAAACTTCATATGCTATTTGGCACTTCTCTCTAATACTTTTCAGTACCCTTAGTTTATTTTGCTGTCTTAAGTGACTGTGCTGCTTTAATGTGTCAACCCAAGGCAAAATACAATCACTTGGAAGACAGTCTGAATGAGGAATTATCCAGATCAGCTGGCCTGCTTATTGTCTGAGGGTGATTGTCTTTGTCTTAAGTAGTAATTGATGTTCGAATATTCTACATGTTTGGAGGACAGATTTTTCTAGGTAGTTTCCTGAACTGTAAAGGATAGGAGATATGTAGAAGAGAGCTCTTGAAGAATCACGTGCAGTCTTGTAAATAGGAATCAAACTATCAAGTACTACTTATTCTAGAGTGATTGCATACATTGAACTTGGAAACTTACTAAAACTCTGTAGACTCACAAGAACTATGGTAAGGTGTCTACTTGCCATGAAAAACACATTTTAGCACCTGTTGAGTATTGTGTTTAATCCCAAGTCAATAACATACACAAAATATAAACAATATGACTTGGGACCCTATAGAAATTAATGGGAAAATAATATCAATTTTTCATAAAGAGAGGATCTGAACTGGAATTTGAGGAATTAGTATGATTGGGATTGGGGTAGAAATTCACAATGAGCCATGTGTGCCATCTAGAGGAGTGGCTTGAAGATGGGGGTAGAAATTCACAATGAGCCATGTGTGCCATCTAGAGGAGTGGCTTGCAGAGGACATTTGAGAGGACATTAGTAAGTACTTAATTTTGATGAATTTGAAATTTAATATGGTATAAGAGTAGTAAACAGGGGTTGAAGGGGAAAATTGGAATGAATTTTAAACATAGAAGTCTAAAAATGAGTATCCAGTATTTTATGAAAGGAGACATTTTAACATAGTAATCTAAAATTATTAGTGACTGAGAACAGTTTCTATTAATTCTATTTATTTATTTCTTTTTTATTAGTTCAAGATAGGAACAAGATTGCTTCACACGTCAATCCCCTCTCCCTCTCCCTCCCCTTACCCCCATTCCTCCTCCCCTACCCCCACCCTATCCACCCTCCACTCCCCAGGCAGGGCAGGGCCCCCAATCGGGGCTCTGCAAAGTCCACCACATCTTCCTGGGCCGGGTCTGGGCCCTTTCCCATGGGTCCAGGGCAAGAATGCTTCCCTTCACGTGGGATGGGCTCCCAAAGTTCCTTCTTACAACAGGAAAAAACACTAATCCACCACCAGGGGCTCCCTGGAGTGCAGAGGCCTCCTCATTGACATTCATGTTCAGGGGTATGGATCAGTCCTGTACTGGCATCCCAGACAGCATCTGGGATCTATGTGCTCCCCCTTGTTCATGCCAGCTGTTTCCGTGGGTCTCCCCAACCTGGTACTGACCCCTTCGATCCTCACTCCTCCCTCTCTTCAACTAAGTTCCTGAGTTCAGTCCAGTGTATATCTGTGGATGTCTGTCTCTGATTCCATCAGCCACTGGATGAGAGCTCTAGGATGGCATAAAAAGTAGTCATCAATCTCATTCTAGGGGAAGGGCATTTAGGTCATCCTCTCCACCATTGCCTGGACTGTCAGATCATGTCATACCTGTAGGTCTCTGGAAATCTCCCCAGTGCCAGATCTCCCCTCGGCCCCATAGTGGCTCCTTCTAATACGGTATCTCTCATCCTGCTCTCTCTCCTCCATTCTTCCCCTAACTCAACATCTCTGCTCCTCCATTTCCTCTCCCCCACTCCTCCTCTCCTGCTCTCATTATGGCAGCTCCCTCTTCCCTACCCTCATGCTCCCAATTAGCACAGGAGTTCCTGCCCCTCCCATTCCTGGGGTCCATTCATTTATCCCTTAGAGTCCTTCATGTTTTCTAGTTTCTTTGGTGACCTGACCCCTACTGAGGCCTAACTCCTTTGGAGTGAGGAGACTACCAGGAGAGTCAAGACTATCCAGAGCTTCGGACATTGAACCCCAGGCCCACACACACCACCAGGTCACAAGAGGAGATAGAGAGACCCCCACCTGCACTCACTGGAAGAAGATATGGGAAGAAGACAGAGTAAGAACTCACTCAACAACAAAAAGACCAATATGACACCATCAGAATCTCGGAACTCCACACCAGCAAGATCTGAAAAGCTCAACAAGAAAGATGAATGTCGAGTCTATCTCAACCAACAAGAGAAACACGACCATGACTCTTCTTCAAGCAGTTTATTCAGAAACCTTGTACATCAGCTTCTCTCCTCCCCCTCCCCACACCTAGCAATCCTGGATAGGTCACAGCTGGAGGAGGTACACCAGATCCATTAAGGGCTTTCAAATAAGGCTTGTTTTCAGCCAAGCTCGGTCTCCCTGGCATCCAGCCAGGCGCCATCTTGGGGCTGTGGCTCCCCACAGATGAAGAAGAGATGGACCTCAAAAATTATCTCTATTAATTCTTGATGTCAGCATACATATAGAAAACTAGAGAGTACTTGGGAGCTGAAGAAGGAACATGCCTTCTTAAGGGAAAAATGTCTTGTAACATTATCCTTGAAAATTTTTTATAGAACAAGAATATTTAGTTCTCTAAAGGGAGATAATCCAATAGTCACTGGCCTTAAAACTTTCACTTGAATGACTGAAGGAAGTAACTAACATATTTGTAAATGACTCACAACTTACATGAAATAATATCATTTCCTTTGAATAAGAATTTTTGTTTGATCAGTTACAAAGTACACACAGTAAAAATGAATTGCTGTACCTAAAGTGGTGATAGGTACCCAGGAATTGCCAAAACTTATCTAAATTGAAAGTTTGTTCCCTGGAGTAATAGAGGACTTGTTTCTTCTATTAGGACTTCTAGAGGACTTGTAAAATTTATACATACAGGGAAATAAAAGTATTGGTGAGATAATAAACAATTTAATAGTGGAGCTCTACGGAGTTAATGATTAGCAACACACACCCTGATACAAACATTCCACCTAGAAATGTTGTGATGACTGAGATTGCAAATGATATAAAAAGACAAGTAAGTGAAGCACTTCTGTAGCAGTCTTGAAGACACCATGGCCAAGCTCCTCCTTGTTGCAGGTGAGTTGATAATCAGACATAAGCCTTACCTGAATCTCTCCTCACAGTATCTGACAAGGAAGCAATTTTTATATGACATCTCTATGCTTTAACATTTACAGTTTGTCACCAAAAGTTTTCTTTCCTTATTCAATATTTCCCTAGCTCTCATAAGTCCATAGATGAGAGAATACTTTTGTCCCCACTGCTACCACAGGCATGACACTAATGTCTCACATCCATTCAGTGCTTCCTTTATACCTCTTTTTTCTCAGCCATTCATTGTCTTACTCCTCTTGTTATAGTACTTGCATTGAATTCCATTTCTGTTTCTTTTCAAGTTGGTGTTCTGGAGCTATTTTTGGAGAGATGGACATCAATAGAGTCTGAGATATAGCTATCCAAATTTACTTTACTTTTCTCTTTTCTGAATTATTTCACATCTCTGCTCCATTGTTGCATTTCATTGATGACTTAAATTGTCACAGGAAGTGTCATTCAGTCATCCAAAACTTAGATTTAGGCATTTTAAGCCAAGTTGTTCACAATTTACCAGTCACTCTAAATCTGTGTGCTACATATTTTCTCAGCTTTCAAAACTTATTCAATTGACACTGAAGCTCATTGTGTAAAAGATTCACACTAGGTATGCTCTACTTTCATGATAATGATTCAAACCTAAAATCTCAGCACTCAAAAGGAACAGTTAGAACATACTAGAGTGGACGGCCAACCAGGGATACCTAGTGACAGACCCTGACTCAAAGAGTAAAACAACAAAAAGAGGAAACATCCTCAAATCTAAATTGTTACTTTATAGCTAAAAATGGCATATGGAGCAAATTATCTGTCAAGGGCTTTTAATAGATGCTTCCAAATAATGGCCAAGGCTCCAGAAGGCATTGCATGATGTATTTTAGATATTGTCTTAGATGGGAGAATGTTTGGCTCATTGCAGCTCTAGGGACTAGGGCTCCTGAATGTGTATGCTCACTAATAGATGATCTTGTGAGTAAGTTCATTCAGTGCCACTGGCAGAGATAGTAGATGTCAAGTTGTATAAAAAATATGACAAATAAGATGGAACACGGGGGCATTACCAGGCTTTACTACTCAGTGTAGAGAAATTGAAAGGAGTGATAGCTTCAAGGTCCACACCTTGTAAAGACTATAGTTAGTAGGATGGGCCACAAAACTGACAATTTGATCCTCATGGTTCTTGCAACTGAGCTAGAGAAAATGTGTCTTCTTTCTCTCTCTCTAGGTTTGGCCATTCTTCTGAGTGCTCAGTTGGGTAAGTTATTGGCAAAAGCCTTGCTTTAATATTAGTCTCTAATCCTGATTAATTATTCCTAATAGGATCACCTGCCTGTCTTGATTTGTTTTAGTATTACTTTCTCATATTGGTTTATTGGCAAAAGATGTTATGAGATAATCTACTTGGGGGAAATGAAAGGGTTGACTTAGTGGCTAATACACTCATATCAACTTTCACTGCACCCCTCTCTAATGAAATGCATTAAGAGTTTTGAAACTGGTAAATTCTGGGTGTCAGGGCTCATAAAGATGGCTCCACTCCATCTTGACTAAAGGCCAGAAAGTTCAAAACTGTCCTCAGTAAGTCATATGACCTTAAGGTCAAAGACCTTACTACAGTAGGATGTTTGATCTTGGCCTTGGGTGTCTTATCTAAATAGCAACAGACTTGGTCTGAGGTGTGGTTACCCTTGATGCTCAAGGCCAGGTAATGAGATATCAAAAATAACGTGTGATGACTGAATCCTTGCAGAATTGAGAAAGAAAAGTCTGTTTGTTCATATACATGATACCATGTTCCCCCTTTTGGTCAGGTATTTAAGATGGTGAAAACATAAATTTGTGATTTGTGGTGTTTAGTATTGACTGAATCTACCCTCCTGACATTTATTCTGTGTCTCCATCTTTTCCTTTAATGTTTTTTAACTAGCTTTCTTCAATCCACACTCCTCCTCTCAGGTACGAATGGTGGACTAGTCAGCTGGATTCTGATTGTAACCCCACAAAAACAACTTCCCAGATCTGAGTTTCACAGGAATATTTAGCTTATTTTCTCAAGAGGCTCCAAAGTTTAATCATGATTTGACTGTGAATCTGTACACTTCATGAAGAAATGTACAATTATTAATTTGAATAATTCAGTATAACCAATGAATTAATAATAGCAAGAGGAAGAGGGCATGCAAAATTATTAGCAAGTTCACTGGAATCTACATGAGGTCATTGTTCTGACAACTTTCTACAGGTTCTGCCTACCAGCTGATGTGCTATTATACCAGGTGGGCCAAGGACCGGCCTGATGTGGGGAGTTTCAAACCTGGTGACATTGACCCTTACCTGTGTACTCACATAATCTATGCCTTTGCTGAGATTCAGAACAATGAGATCATCCCAAAAAGCCCAGAGGACTTGAAGGAGTATGAAGCTATAAATAATCTGAAAACCAGGTAAGAGAAGGACCATGTAAGAGATACCTGGTTTAGTATTTATGTGTCACTAGTAGCCACATCCCAATGCATCTTTAAATGTAGGTCAGAATCAAAGTGCTTGAGCTGACAATCTGCCAATGTATTTTTCTTGAATTTTAAACTGAGACAGAGTGCTATTATCATGTATCAACTTTGATTGCTGCTTATAGTACAGAATGGCTCATCACATCATTAGCATATGTGTTACCTCACCTACTTCTATTGAACATGGTAAGAGTGCTTCTTATCCAATGTTATTGTCATATTCTTCACATCTTATTAATGTTTACCATGTTTTCCCCATTCTCTCTCTTTGTACCATTTTCTAAGAATCAGCACTCTACTTTCTCATGCTATGTGTCTGAACATTTTAGTTTGTATTTATAAGTCAGACCATATTTTATTTGTCTATCAGTCACCTTTAGAACATAATAAAATGTCCAATTAATTCACAAATGGAGTTCCAAACACAGCCTTCATTCATTTTATAGTCGAATAGTATTGCAGGCTTTATGAATTGTACACCATTTCTCCATTTATCCAGTGCAAGATACTTTCAGTAATAATCATATGTTGTGTTTTGTAAAAAATGCTACACTTCCTGTCCAGTGCTCTTATCCTTTGTAAAGAAAATGATTCCATATGAACTGAGCACTGCAGATGCTGGGTAACATGGCAATTTTATCTTTCTGAAGGATCCTCACAGTGCTTCCCCATGTGACTATTATCAGTTATATTTCACCCAATGTTTTCCAAATGTTTTATGTATTCATACCCTTGATAAAATTGATCATGTTCAGCTTTATTGAGATGTTATCTCAATGTGGTTGTAATCTAATTGTCTCTCTCAGAAATGTATTTGGTTGATTTTCTTTCACCTGTTAGATTTCATCTTTTGAGAAATGTGTACCTCAGGACTTTGGTCACTTTTGCAATGATGAATTATTTCTTTATATGTAGTTTATTCCAATCCTGATACCTATATTCAAATTAATACCTTATCATTGTATAATATATTTCCACCCAGCTTAATGTAATCTCTTTCAGCGGATGATTTCTCACTAACTCTAATGTCTTCTCACAACTGGTGATCTTCATTATTTGAAAGCCAATGTTTCAAAACACCTATTTCCATGAATATCCACTTCTGCCATAATTTTCTGTATTTATTTGTGGCAGGTGAAATTTAGTAAGGCTAAAAGAATCTGTCATTTTATGTGATCAGGAAGAATATGAGCTAATTATGGTTCTCTTTTTTGGCACTGAAATGCAGTCAGTACACTACATGGAAAACTTGTTTTGAGAACCTTACTTTAAATCCTTGCACTAGACAGGTGGTGGTCGTGGATGCCTTTAATCACAGCACTGAGGAGGCAGAGGCAGGTGGATCTCTGTGAGTTTGAGACCAGCCTGGTCTACAAGAGCTATTTCCAGGTCAGCCTCCAAAGCCACAGAGAAACCCTCTCTCGGAAAAACCAAAAAAAGGACATTGCACTAAACATTTAACAAAGAATTTTAGTGCAAAATTTTCAGAGACAATGGAAAATTGTACTGAGATGGGTCTTCCTGGTACCACACTACTAAACAATATGAGGAATGTACAAATAACACTGCTATTTTATATAAAAGAAGCCAACTGTTTTTATATTTCTCTTTTTCTGTGGTCTTTTAGGAACATGGAGTTGAAAACTCTCCTGTCCGTTGGAGGCTCAGATTTTGGATCTATGACGTAAGTTCTACACACATAGCCTATTGTTTTTGCTAACATAACCTAACTGTGGCAACACAATCTAATTCCATTAATTCACATTTTTAGAAAGGTATTAAGAATACGCATTTGGAAAATAGGTTAAGTCCTAATTTATTTCATTAGAAGCTCAAATTAGATAGAATGTACTCTTACAGGTTGTTGTATATCTTTCACAAGTACTAATTAATTTGTGTATTCTGGCTGCCTCCCTCTGAATGTTAGTTAGCTACTACAGAGAGCTGTTTCTTAAAAAAATAAAATCCTCCAGGTCAGAGGAGCTTCATGTACTTACTACTTCTTTCCATCTCTCCAGGAACTGAATTGAGGGATTCTCACACATAAGAAACATACTTTGAGTTATCATGAACGAGTGTGTATTTGAAGACAGAATATGATTGATTGGCTAGGATGGAAAGCTATTAAAAATGAAGGGGCAATGGTACAGTAGTTATGGCCAGGATCACAAAAGAAAGGAGATGCTGAAGTTGCAATGCTAACAGGTGATTTGCAAGAGGAGGCTGAAAACAAACCAAGGAGCCTTGGAGAACAACACAGAATCTGAAGTGAGCTTCAAACTGTCTTAATCCAATGTGGTATTTTCACACAAATCTTCATCTTCCTTTGGTCTCCCTCAGGTTCAGTGCCATGGTGTCTACTGCTTACAACCGTCAGACTTTCATTAAGTCAGTCATCAAATTCCTGCGCCATAACAGTTTTGATGGGCTGAACCTGGACTGGCAGTACCCGGCATCTCGTGGAAGCCCACCTAAGGACAAGCATCTCTTTAGTCTCCTGGTGAAGGTAGGGGAATCAGGAGATGTCTTTAGTCCTAGAAGATTCAAAGTCTCTTCTTTCCAAGGAGAACTGGGTTGTTCTAGAACAAAGCAAACTTGAATTTATAATTATAGATTTTTATTAATGCATAGGCCCTGAAATATCATTCGTTGATTCAACAAGCATGTGGGACCACACAACAACACAGGCATGTATAGAATGATAATGGATCTTCATATGTTGTCTATTGTGTGAAATCCAGAATCATTATGATCTCTATGTTACAGACAAATAACTAATATACAGAAAGGGCTTTAGTAAATTTGCCAGAATCACTCAGATAACAGGATCATCTTTACCAGTTTTGTTTCTAGCCTCATAACATCTACTATGACTGAATATGTTAGACTCGATAGTAGCTAATAAGTACAGGCTAAAGATGAAAATAAAGCAGGATCTTTTGCTTCTAATTATTCTTATCATAGGTATGACAATTGAAGTGCATCTTGGTAATGGGCATGAAAGTATTCAGTAGGGTACTAAAGAAAAGAAAATATCTGAGTAACTGGCTGTGCCAAGGAGGATTAGAAAACACTTCTGAGAAAGTGATGCTTGAATTTAGACTGGAAAAAATAGCTATTGTCATCAAATTGGTAAGGATGGATCTGTCACAAGAAAGTGATAGAAACTAATGAACAAGTCATCTAGTGAGATATATGAGTTACAAATGTGGCAATTTCTGATTGTGTGGGAACTTTAGTTTTAGATGAAGATATATCATTCTCCTATTCGCCTAAAAGAACATGGGATACTTTTAGGGGTTGTAGATACTGGGGAAATATGATGGGATTGGTATTTTGAGTGATTATTAGATATTAACTAAAAATAGAGTGAGTAGACAAAGATTCGGTAGAAAATCGTTAAAGTAAATTAACATTAAAGTAAATTAGGACCTGTGATCAGAGACAAAAGAAAACAAAATGGTTTTACAAGATGTAAGGATGGCATGTAGATAGAGAAGACAAAAACTAATGGGAACAAGGGGTCATTTTGTGTTAGAGTTGACAAAACATCGCGAATTTTAGACATAAAGGACTATATCAGAGCACAATTCTTTGTTGAGAGTAAAATATAAAACATTTCCTTTGTAGTGGGACCTAACTATTCTACCTATGAACATAGTGAAAGTGAAGTATATAAACTGAAAGAATGATGATAATGGATTTCATATTTAAGACCTCACTTGATATACTGTTCAGACATTTTCAAAAAGGGGAGTGATCATTAAGCAAAAAAATCAAAAGAATAATAACTAAGGATTGTGGAAATTTTGCTTTTACACTATACTTATTCTCTTGTATGATACTTGTATAAAAAAGAAAAACTTTGATTATTTATATAATTTTGGACAGATTGATCTACCAGTGATCTACACAACTACACTCAATACACTGTTCTTTTCATAACACTCTAACCAGCAGATATTTCCCCAAGCTCTGAAGAGTTTCAGTATTGCATAACCATTAAATGGCAGGTAGCGTCTACTGAATGGGTATGGCATGAATAATGATATGGAACAAACTTCTGTGCCAAGTTTACAATTTTGAGGCATGTTTTCTAATTGATTTCTCTTCAAAGGACAAAATCAAAGCAATCAATATTCATTTTTATGCACTTAATATTTGGATAAAGCTAAAAAAAATCTTTCCTTTGCTTCTTCATCCAGTAAAGTGATCTTATCATTTGACCTCCTTGCCACATGGCCAATTCTGGACAAATAGTTTAGAAACATTTTCTGGAATACCCAAAATCAGCATTGAGAGAGAACCCAAGGATTGTAAATGAGAATAGAGTCACATAGAATCTAGGTAGATAATAACAGGCACAGAATTTAACCCGTCACACAGTTCTTGCAACATTCTACTTCATGAACATATTTTGGACTGGATGTGGGGCCTATGAGCAATGGAATCCACTCAGCAATGGCAGCAGCTCTCCATGGAACTCCAAAAAGGTGCAGGGCACTGCTAAAAGTCATTATCAGAGAGTTAAATATAAGAAAAGCTCTGACCACACATTGGGGCCTGAATACTAACCACTAAAACTTACTAGATGTTTGACTTGGTGATATTTTTAAATGTCTATATATTATTAGGAAGCCATATATTTAATTGCAGCATTTAATCTCCAGAATCTGTAGAGGTAATAACAAATAGTAAATTAAGAGAAAAATCAGAGAATGTGTATTGAAATATGTTTAAGTCTATATATATTTATTGTGAAAAGAACTGAAATAAAGGTGAAATAAAAACACCAATCTTCTAGGAGATTCGTGAAGCTTTTGAGAATGAATCCTTAGAACAGCACAAGACTAGGCTGTTAATCACTGCCACAGTAGCTGGAATCATCAAGATCATTGAGGATGGGTACAAGATCCCTGATCTGTCACAGTAAGTGGGAACCCATACTCACAACTTCTGTGGATATTTACACAGAACTCACTCATTCCCAGTCTTCCTTGTTGCTCTAAAATCTCTGATTATAGGTCTCATAAAGGGAGTGCTTTGCTTATATTGGCCACAATAACATCACTCAGCATGAACTGGATTGAAGTTTCAAATAAAGTTTTCATTTATTCTTTAAATATTTCATACATTTATTTTGTGCATTTTAATTAAAATTATTTTAAAAATCCCTCCTACAAATTCACCTCATGCATTATAACTGCTATCTCACTGAGTTCCATTTTTTTCCTATTTTGAGTTGTTTATGTCCTTACCAACATCTTAATCCAATCAGATTTGCTCATATGTGCATGTTGTGGGGCTATCCATAGGTTGACAGACACATAAATCTAGCAAAATGCCCAAAGGATTTTGAATTTATTTCTGTCAGTAGTTTTAAAACACCAATAGCTTTTTTTTTTACCAAGTTTAACACATGGAATAGTCAATGTTTTGATTTTAGCTGATTGATAATTGGTAAATTGTGTGCTGGTAACAACAATCACTGAGTGTTATTGTGTGCATCAGTCAAGTCACCTCTAGAAGTCAGCATTCATGTCTACCTCTCCAGTAACCACCAACACATAATGTTCTTGGACTGGCTCTTCTATAGTAGTCATGGAGCCTTCAAGTTGAGGTACAGAGAGTTGGAGAGATGGCTCAGCCGTTAAAGGCTACTTTTACAACCAAAAAATATAAGTTGAGGTGTTGAGATAAACATTTATGTTCCACAGTTGAGGGTTCACAGTGATTTGGGTTCTATACTTTAAACTGTAAATGAGTGTCTGCATTAACCCCTACCCACTAAACGCCAAAATTTGTGCCAAGCTTTGTGATTACTATGGATATAAACATGAATATATAAAAGACAGTATGACTGCATGACCCTAAAGAAAACAGCAATTTTGTTTCCCTCTTGTGTCTGTGATTTCACTGTGCTTATATATTTGTACAAATTTACAGTAGTAGCCATGAGATGCATCCCATTGTCAGACATCTTATGCAGTCAGTAAATAGGTATTACATCCATACCATCATGTCTTTAGTGCATAACTTGACAAGCAAGTAAATTTTGTGATATGCAGGGTCTAGCTGTAAGTAAGACTATATTGGGTTTTCTCCACAAACCAGATTGCATAAAACTTTTGACATGATGTAGGCTTGCTAAGAGGAAAACATTTTTCATTGTCATTTTCGGTTATCCCTCTAGTCTTGAGTTAATTTGTGTCCAACTCAACAATCAGATCTTAGCATTCTGTTACACTGAACAGCATTATTACAGTGAGCAGCTGTGTTACAATGAGCATCAAAGGCAAATGGTAACATGTTGGGTTGTTTTAGGTGTCTTTGATGCCTGCATGGCCAATAGCATGTAGGGAGGTTTCCCATACCTAAAACAGACTCACTCATTTAATAGATTAAGGCTTCTTGAAGATTATTTTGTATCCTGGCTGAGTACTTCTGCTCAAACTCCTTTTTGTGTGTCTTATTTTTAGTTAGCTTACAAGTTTGTTGGTTGGCAGATGTCTTCTTTCTGTAATCTTTATTTTATTATAAGCCACTATCCTTCCCCACATCTCTACTCTGACTTAAATATACTTCACATATAAATCAAAACCCTTTCAATTCCCCTGTGTTTTTTTAAATCCACCTGGATTAATTTCTTACTTGAGCAGAAGAATGTAACTTTCAACATAGGATTTTCCAGAACCTTTCCTTAAAGTTAAAAAGAAATTAGAAAAGGGGAGTAGACAAGATAGGATATTAAAATCTTGATGGATTGGGAGGTTTTACAACTAAGCTTTCAGAAATTTGACCAAAGGAAAATGATTCTTACAACTTTCTTTTTTTCCAGATCCCTTGATTACTTTCAGGTCATGACATATGATCTCCATAGCTACCAGGATGGCTACACTGGAGAAAACAGTCCCCTCTACAAACATCCAGAGGACCATGGCATTTATGCCTACCTCAATATGGTAACCTTGGATAATCTCAAATAAAAATGGGAAATACCTAATATCTTAGGAGAGTCAAGCACAAAACAAACACTAGTTGAGATAATTCAGTCTTCTTAAACCACTTAGGATATCTGTAAAACTGTAGTGAGCAATATATTTTGAAAAACCAATCTAAATAATTTTTCATTAGTATCTCACAATTTGAGCTGCCAGAGTAGGGAACTAACCAAAATAAGCACAGACTGCCAGCTGTTTTGACCATAAACTTACTTCGGTTACTGCAGGATTACATCATGACCTATTGGAAGAACCATGGAGCTGATCCTAAGAAGCTCATTGTTGGATTCCCAGCCTATGGACAAACCTTCACACTGAGTGACCCATCTAACAATGGAATTTATGCCCCTACCATTGGCGCTGCACCTCCAGGGAAGTACACAAATAAAGCAGGATTATGGGCCTACTATGAGGTCAGTGGATTGTTGTAGAGTGGTCAATGAATGGCAGACCCAGCTCTTAAATCTGGGTGTTAAAATCTGCTGAAAATGAATGTTCATTATGTGCAGTGCTATCACCTAAACTGAGTGACCATTCCAAATTGTTCTACTATTATCATATTTCTTTATAAATAATTAATAGAAGTTCTTTGTTATATACAAGATTCCTTCATGGAAGAGTTCAGTGTTACTTAATCTTTCAAATGCTGTGATCCTATTATGCAGTTCCTTATGTGTGGTAACTTTCAACCAAAGTATCATTTTGTTGCTACCTCATAACTACAAATTTGCTACTGTCATGAATCCTAATATAAATATCTGATATGAAGGATATCTGATATATGACTAGTCTGGGTGCCACTAACCACAGGTTGAAACCTAAGTCATAGTCTTAGGTCTACTAATAAGACTATAGATATTCAATGAGTAAGTACTTATCATACCATATAGGAATCTGATAGATACTGAAATTACATGCAAAAATATGAGAAACATTTGCATATGAAATTATTTGTATCTTTACAATTTGTCTGTAGTCCAACTTTGTTTGATAAGCTAGTTCTTGGGTTCAGTTTCCAGCAGAACATGTAAAAAAGATTAAAATACTGAGAGTATACATTAAAATATTACTATGATCCTGTTTCTTCAAATTACAGGACCTGGCACAGGAGAATTACAAGTTTGAAGACTATTTTAGGTATAGACTGAGACTCTGTCAAAATGAAAAATGTAAAAATGTAAAAAGAATTGTAGTTACATCTCAGTTGTAGATAATTTATGTAGCCTGAGTAATGCCCTGTATGTATGTCATGCCTACCTAGAGCAAAAGAGAACATTGCCTTGATTTTTAAGACATATAAAATTCATAAGAAAATGGAGGTAAAATCCACAAAGAATGGAAAGAAATGAAAACAAAGTACATGCTATTTTTTCTTGGTATTGATATTTAAATATTTGAATTTGTTGAATATCTAAAGATTTGCTACTTCCTGAATTATGGAGCCACTGAGGAAGGGAATGCTGCTCAGGAAGTACCCTACGCTTTTAAGGACAGAGAATGGGTTGGCTATGATAAGCCCAACAGCTTCCAGATGAAGGTAATTTGAGTCAATTGGATGTGCTGAGTTCTCATTTCTGACTCACAGGAATCAAGTAACTCATGTCCTCTGTTTTAACAGGCTCAGTGGCTCAAGGAGAACAACTTTGGAGGTGCCATGGTCTGGCCTCTGGACATGGATGACTTCACTGGTTCATTCTGTAACCAGGGAAAGTTTCCTCTGACCACTACCTTAAAGAAAGAGCTCAATGTCCAGAGTCAAAGTAAGTGACAGCATGGATATATTGGTATGCAATGCCCTTCATCAATGAAAGGTAGTCTTGATAGTTTCTTCTCCAGATCCCAGAGAGATTTTCCCATTTTTTCTGTGGGAAATTTCCTAGATGAGAGACAGTTTCTGACCTTTGCAAACCTCTTCATTCCTATAATTTATATTACACATTTATATGAAACATGGACTACATTTTGTGTTGAGTGAGGTGTTCCATGTCTACTAAGCTTTTAAGGCATGAGTCCACAACATCTTTAGTCTCTTTAGGTTTTCCAATCTTTCACTCTTTAAGGATCTCCATTAGAATTTATGTATGCCCCCTTGGGGATTTTTGTCAGAAAAACTTCAACAATGCTCCAATGCATGACTGTATACATATACTCTCTGATACACCACATCTAATGAGGTTTTTTTAATCAAACTCAGTTGCTTACTGGGTATTCAGGAAGTATTGTTAATGGAAAAGAAGTAAATTTAATTGCTCTCAAATAGGCAATGAAGACTTGGGAATGTAATAAAAGCTGATTTTTGTGGTAACTTTCCCTAACAGCCAAGTCTGTATTTGTCTTGTGATCTAACTTGAGAAACTATGAAGTTAACTACATCTCCAGTTCATGAAGTTGTTATCTTAGTACTTCTCTTCCTTTCTATTTATTGATTTCCTTCTCTCCAGGATCACATTTTGGCCTTTTTCTTTATGTTTCAGGCTATAAGGCAACTTGTCGTGAGGAGCTTTAACCTGTAATTGTTCTTTAAGACATGAGAATAATTGCAAGATCAGCAGCTTTGGGGCAGTGGTTTACATGTCAACCTCCCATAAAAAATAACATAAGTAGCTTCCAATCCTATCTGAATTGAATCACAGACCAACACAACTGTCATGTGGGTCTTGTGCTCAGCACCAACTGTGATTGCAACAAGGCATGGTCTTCAACTGTCAGCTTTGTGCAAGCTGTGAACATCCTCCCATGTTTCCCCTTAAGCCATCCATTTCCTGCCTAACATTTATAAATAAAATTCACATTCAAATCATGAACATCTATTGGGTTTTGTGTGTTATTTGGATTAAATCCTTTGTTGGTGTGAAATGCTATCTGCTCAGAGGTGGTAGTGGTAAAAGAGGCCGTGTGAATAATGGTAGATCTAATTTGCCTTCTGTTTTCTATCTGCATACTTGATTCTGTAGGAAATTGAGAGTTATGGGATAATACTTGATGTTTTATAAAGGTTTAGAATGCAGGAAGAAGTGTCTATTCCATGTTGACCATACTTTATTAGTAGACACTGACTCCAGGATTCCTGTTGAAACCCAGAAATCATTTCTAAGCCACTCATGCATGTCCTTGCAGGACCCAAATCTGTTTGAACACTTCCTAGAGTTGAAGATTTTGAAGAAATGTAAGGACTTCTCATGAGGAGCCTTCCCATTACTGAAGTTGAAATAGATCCTTCCTAAGCTGCCTCATTCAATGAAACCAGTGATCATTCAGTGAAACCCCTAATCCCGTTAAAGTCTGTTAGTTAAATGCTGTTAGTTTTTTATATATTTTGCTTTAGTCATCTGGATATTCACACTACCAAATGAATTCCTTTGGATGCGGTGTAGATTCATCAATGGTGATATTTTTTTTTATGATCTAACAAATAAACCTTGCCTGAAGTTCAGAGTGCAAAGCTAGCCACACTAGTTATCCATAGATGCCAGGCAGTGATGTGACACACATTTAATCCAAACACTCAGGAAATTCAGAGTGCAAAGCTAGCCACACTAGTTATCCATAGATGCCAGGCAGTGATGGGACACACATTTCATCCAAGCACTCAGGAAACAGAGGCAGACAAGGCCTCCATGGGCTACATGAAATTGATCCAATTTAAAAGAGACACAGAGCTCATACAAAGGTGAGCTTGGGATAAAGTAATATAAGGAAGCAGGAGGCAGGAGCTCAGATCAGTATGAGGAGAAAGTGCAGTCTGGAGTTGCAATCTAAGGAGAGGAACAAACTTTCTGTCTGAGCATTGGTAGACATGAGAATGTGCTAGTGGCTAGCTGCTTTGCCTCTCTGATCTTAAGTTTTTAAACCAAATATCAGTATCTGGATTTTTATTATTAATCCCAACTAGAATTAGTGCCACTTCAGGAATCCAACTTTTGGGGTATGAATTCACCAAAAAAGCTATTTACCTGAGGTTTGCAACCACTAGCATAGGCTGGAGCTATGCATGGCCTGAGTCACCACCCTACCAGCTAGGTTTTTCTATTTCTCTCCTAATGACCTTTCCTGGACACACTTTCTTAGTCTGCTGCCAAACTATGTAACTAACTGCCTTGAAATTTGGTCAGGCTTGTACTAATCACTGCAGCAGTCTACCCCAGATGTTCACCCGAGGGGTTTCAGATTTTGTGAGATAATTGGGATTTCATAAAAGGAGGAATTAGTTAAAAGAGAGCATTTTCCCACATTAAAAAGGAAAACATAATTACAATAGAGAATGATAGGTCTATGTATTATTATGCAATGCATGATTTAAAAATGGAATAATTAAATGAAGGGATAATCAACTTAATTGGGATTGACATACTGTAAATTATCATTTTGATAATCCTTGTTGTCATTTTGATAATTCTTGGTTTAGCTCTTAAGAAGTTGTTTGGTATGAGTGCCAGGATACAGAAAACCCTATTAAAGCAGATCATAGAGATATTCAGACACAAATATTAGAATTTAAAGAA